GGGTGGGGCACACCGCCTCGCCCCGCCCACCGGCGGGCTGAGAGCCAACCGGAGGCGAGTGCGTGAGCAATGACCCGCCCACGGGCTGGGTGGGGCAGAGCAGCAGCCAATCGGAGGCGTGTGTGCGAGGAGGGACAGGGCGCGTGCGGCGGGGTACGGGCCATGGCGGTTGCCCCAGTGAGCGGAGGCCGCGGGGCCCCGGGCCTCGGCGCGTCCCGGAGGGCCCCGCACCAGTGCGCCCAGTGACGCGGGGCGGCGGGAACTGGGCCCGTGCGATCCTCTGCCGCGCTAGGTCAGCGGTTTGACAGCAGCACACTACAGACCTTCCCATCCCGGGCACCTGGCCTAGTGCTCGTCTTTAAACTGCAGTGGCTTTTCCTCTTGCTCTGTTAATGCGTGGGGTGGTGGAGTGCAGCGGATAAACTGGTTTGTGAAATGTCAAAAAAAAAAGGGTTAGAGAGTTTCTCCCTTGGTCAGGAAGGGAGTCACGTCTGCGCAGCAGTTTTATCTTCAGCGGGCAATGTCAACTGGCTGTGCCGCATGGCAGCACAAAAGCTTACCGTGGCTTAGCTTAAATCAATTAGAAATCTAACTGTGGGATAAAATAGGGCGTTCTTAAACCGAACGGACCGTGTACTGAGCCATTTCCACTGCATTAATTATATTAATTTAAGAACAACTATAATTAAGTCACTTTTTTTTTTTTTTTTCATGCAGTGAGACCAGCTGAACATTTTCCAGGGGTAGGATTGCTCAGCAAAAAATTGGATCTTTGCTGAAACAAATATCATCAAAGATGTTTGATTTGTGAGTAAGGAGGTTAAATCTATTGAAAATTGCTAGAATTTCTGTTAAAGTTTTTGTATTAATATTTCGTAACATTTTTAATGGAGAGGGAGAAATTTTCTCAAGCATTTCCACAAAGACAGATGAATGTCTGTCGCTCGTTACTTGCACTGCTATTTCACACCACCGGATGTCACTCCAAGTCCACGTAAGGCAACCAGCTTCTGTTTATTTCTACTTTGTGAAAGAGGTTCTGATTTGGTTTTAGACTTCCATATCCATAGGTGCTACATTTCACTTGCCCAAAGACATATATATATATATATATATATCTATATATATATATATCGCTTCTTTTAGCAGAAGTCAGTAACAAGGTAAATCTGTACGTCCAAATATGCTCTCCTGAATTAACATACTGTAACAAGTACATAATGGAACAATTTGAAATTTAAAAAGGGACATTAATGCTCTGAAGACTGTGCACACTTTCTAATTCAAGGAAAAAAACCAATCATCTGCTCTGAGCCTTCTCCAGATAAATTTTTATGTAATTCTGCTTAAAGGGAGTATGTTCTGTTCTCTACACCAGATCCTGTATGAAAGCTGGTCTTGTTTAACAAACTGCTCCTTTTCTTTTCTTTCTCATTGACATCGAATCTTAGGCACAACCCTCTCAGTGAATTAGTTTAGGCAGCTAGGCCAACGGATACCATTTTGTGATCTGTTTAATATATTTTAAACAGCAGTTGAATGAATTAGCATTGAAACTGGACATTGCATCCAAATTCAGATATTCATTGGTACTATTAGTAGCCAAATGCAACTGCTTTTCTTTCTGAGCATCAAGCAGTATGACTCATTATTGGCAGTGAGGAAAGCCAAATGATCTAATTTGTGTATAGGGAGTTCTGATTGACTGGAAAGCACTCCTCTCTTACCAGAAGGTAGGTCTTGTAAAAGTCAACATTATTGTTCCACACTTTTAGTCCTTTCAAGGTGATTGAATTATCTCAGAGTGACCTGCTCTAGCAGCCTAAAATCTCTGTGTGTAACATTCCTAATCTCTTCAGCTGCAGCAAACATGCATGGCATGGCAGCATTACAATGGTAATCATTAACTCAGCTCATTAAGAGGTAGCTAATGTTACTGCTAGATAATCTTGTATTGGTTTATAAAGCTGTTCAAATGTATATTTTCATGTACAGTATTTTAAAAATGTCTGGCAGCAGTTGCTAGGCTTCTCTTTTAATGCAAAGGATTTTCAAACCTAACCAAGGATGAGTTAATAATTTCAAGTGTGTTAACTTTCACCTTCTGCTGTGGTACATTCTGCTAAAGCTTTTTAGTATAATTTGAAATAATTTCATAGCATAGACAAAGCAACTGTTTAAATGCTGATGGAGCTTTGCTGCTGTATATTTACTTTTGGAATTGTCCTTGTAGTGGTGCTGACTACCATAGAAACTTTTGGAACAATGTTCATCAGATTCTCTTGGATCACTGTGCATAATAGGTGTGTCTTTCTGCCTCTGCCTTCTACTGCTGGTAGATGATTTGGTTTTACTGGCATTGCTAAATAGTCATCACTGTATTTGTAGAAGGGTCTCCATCCTTAAAAAAAATACCATTTGTAA